TACAGTGATTTTGCTTCAGTCATAGGCAAGCAGGAAATGAGGCGCCTTATCGCGGTGATCTTAGAGCACGCTCCCCAACATTATTCCACACGTCTATTGCCCTCCGTGCCTTCTCTTTGGGAAATGACTGTCTTCCAGCCAATCTTTTTTTTTAAAAAAAAAAAACTGTTACCTTTTAAGAACTCTTTAGATAATCTAGGTACTATTCTTTCCTCCAGTGTGGAGTTTTAAAATGCCCTAGTGTTGTAGAGCATGTCTGTTTGTTCTCCTAACAGGGCTTTCACAGAGCAAATGCTCTCATTTTGTTCTGTTTTATCAAAAACTTATGTATGATAGCTTTTGTGTCATCTTTATTTTAAGATCTTGCTTTGTTTTGTTTTGTTTTTTCAGGCAAGATCACAAAAGTTCCCAACTGGCTTAGGATTTCTGATCCTCTGGCCTCCACCTTCACATGAGGTGCAGAGCCACCATGTCGAGCTTGTCCAGCCTTGGGGATCAACGCAGGACTTCAGTGGGGATCTGATGCAAGATTTTAGGGCAGGGAGCTCCCTGCTCAGCCCTAGGTGACGTCATCTTTAATAACCCTCAGCCAGGCCAGGTGTCCCTACTGTTCTTCCCTCTTGCTGTTCTTATCATTAAGCCAGTCTGAGATGCATTTTGAGAATGTTCACATGATGTTTGTGAAAAGAGAGTTTCCTTTGGGCATTTGTCCCTGTACCCCTGTTACAGTCCACTGGGCATCTTGAATAGATAACTTGCAGGTTGTAGGCCATCTTTTAGTCAAGCCTATTACAAGCCAAATCCTCATGAAAGACTTTGACAAAATAAACGTAAAGATATTGATGAGCTTATTTTTAGAAGAAAGCTGAAGATTGGTAGCGTTACATCACCGTGTCAAGTTGGGAGCATAGCCCCTCCCATCTATCCCAGCCCCCAGGCCTGGTCTGGACTCCAAATCCCAGCAGGCCAGGTCCTGACCCCTCCCTGGGTCAGGATCTTAGGAACCTACAGGATCTTAGTCACTGCTGCAAAGCCTTTGATATAATAATCCACCTTTGCCCTGCTCTAAAGATAAGCTAGCAAATGTGGAACACTTGGAAAATTCCTTGACATCTTAAGAAGCAAACAATGGTAATTTCATATCATTAATAAGATCTGATATAAAAGTCTGATAATTCTGGTGACGATTCCAATTAAATTTAACTTTTAAGATGAACATATGCATCCTGAATCTATAGGAAGTTGCAGGAAGAGTTGCATTGACTGCAAAACCACCATCTGCTAGCAATCCTGCGGCAAACTGAAACATTGGCTCGGCGCCACCGCCACCTGCTGACAGCTCATCAGCTTGCAGCATCGCCGGGACCACCTCGAGTCAGCCTTTGCCTTCTTATCCAGCCAGATAAACAATAGAACCCTGACAAGACCATTGAACTCTTAGTAAACTAAATAATCACTGTGCCAGATTCCCAGTGGTTTAGAAATTTTCCTTATTCCTTTGCAAGTTGTTCATATTTGTGCAGTACGTGAACAGAGCCAGCTTGAAACACAAAGCCCGTGAGATATTACTCAGTCCTTTCTAGTCTAATGATCGTCTCTGAAAAACTAACACTTCACTGTCTCATTTTCCCCCTGAATTATTTTGTCGTATATTTCATATTTTAAGACCACTCTTGGTGTTTCATAACTCATATACATATATTTTTCTTTTCAGGTTTGTGTTCCTGTCTTTTTCAAAGCCCTGATAGGATAGCCAGAGTCTAATAACTCCCCAAACCTAAATCATTTCTGGAAAGAGAGCAGGAATTCACTTCTTGGAGCAACAACCATTTCCCAAATGAAATTTTCAAGGACTAACTGAACCAACACTCCCTACACTTTCCCACCTCCTGCCCACCACCCTCTGCTTTTCTGTGACCCCTCTGCCAAAGCACAGGCATCTTTACCCTTCCTCCGACTGTACATGGCCTGAGAGCTATGATCATAATAACCAACCGAAAGGGAGACAGAAAGCAAGTGGCTCAAGGACCTGTACTGCCTTTTGCTAATGAAGTAGGAGTTTTAGTGTGGGGTTTGACAATAACTAATAAAGCAAGACTGTTTGAACAATAATTTACCGTAAAAGTGCACCTGTTATTTAACTGCCATGATGTGAATATGAATAGCAAAACTAGACATTTACTAGTTCAATAAAAATATAATAAGCTCATAATTAGTACAAGGTACACACTGGGATTTTGTCCCAGTATCTGTATATAAATATACAGGGGGAGAGAGAGAGAGAGAGAGAGAGAGAGAGAGAGAGAGAGAGAGAGAGAAAGGAGAGCTTTGGAAGCTTTTGGTTTGGTTTTGTAGGAAGTTCTAGGGAAAATAGGTTTGAGCAAAATTGTCATTCTCTCAAGCTAAACAAAAGATGGTTTTATAGGATATAAATGACTCCGAAGTATCAGGAGGGCAGCACTTTATTGTCATGTCGCCATATGATTATCCACAGTTAAAAAAGTCCTGCGTTACCTAGAGTAATACCATTTCAGGTGACTCTGTCTGATTAGTTCTGCCTGGGAGCCTGCCTCGTCTCCGGTTTCAACCACAGACACTGTCTGAGAAAGACTCAGAGACTTCAGACTGGTTACTTTCCTGTTGCAGTGACAAAAATACCATGACCACAAACAGTCTGTGAAAGTTTATTCTGGCTTATGGTACTAGAGGCATGGCAGGTGAGAAGATTATGACATCATGGCAGGAGGGAGGGACATGACATCATGGCAGGCGGGAGGGGTATGACATCATGGCAGGAGGGAGGGACATGGCAGCGAGCAGTGGGCATGGGAGCAAGAGCAGAAAGCTGAGAGATCACATTTTAAACTACAAATGTAAAACAGAGAGATGGAAAGAGCTACATTCTCTCAAGCTTCCTCCAGCAAAGTCTGCACCGCATCCCCAAATGTTATCACCAACTGAAGACCAAGTTTCAAACACTGGGCATGCAGTATGTGGAGGGGTCATTTCTCATGCAAACTTCTTCAGAGCCGCAGCATGTCTCAGTCAAAGCTTCAAGGGAAGAAGGGGAAAAAAAAAGACCAATCTTAAAGACAAAGGGCAAGTAGATGCGGGAAGAATGTTTTTCTTTCTAAAGAGAATTTCGAAAATTAAAACACAGCCTTGTAGCTCAAGTTCCAAAGGACAGAACTGTAAGGTATAACTTCAAAAAATATGTCCACACAATAGTAATAAAATAAATAATTAAATTTATAAAAAGATTTCTGCAAGGTGCTGAGCAGGCTTTGAAGGGAGTAAAGCAAATTACTAATCCTACCCAGCTGTGATGGCTGCAAAACACAATGAAGCCCGGCATGAGATATCCCCAGAGGTGCAGAGTATCGCCTTATGTCTTGGAAGCAACCAACAGCTGTCTAATTGGACTTAAGACCCAGTCACTGCCAGGGAGGTCATGCCCGGTACTGTAAACCTAGCCAGCTGCCTCAGGCTGGTGAGTCCACGGAATCAAGAGGTAAACCTACTACTGTCACTTTCCTAAACCAGTAGAGTTTGTCGCTGGATTCTAAACCCTAATCCTTCATGCACGTAAAAATGTAACTGTCACTTTTAATCAACAAAACCTTAGAGACCATGATAGCAAGGTACAATTGGTTAAAAATGCAGAGGATAACTGCCTGGGGCGCCCATCCCCAGTTGATGCATCTGCATCCTAGCTGCTACACACCAGACTCATGGAACATCTCTATTAAGGAAATGCTTAAAGGAGAGCATGTAGGTTTCATGTGATCACCCCAACATTTAAAAGAGGTGTTTTTTTTTTCTTTCAGTCAACAAATGACAAAAGTAACAGGTACGTTCCTTATTCCTGGAAGAACCCTGGCAGCCTTCTAGCCAGACTTCTGCCTCGATCATCTGTTTTCCTTGAAGTTTTCAAGGTCAAGTCTGAAATGCCCCCTCCTCCTGTCTTTTCTAATTGTTCCAACCCCAGGGAATGACTTCTCTGCTTCAAACTTTTTATTCATGCTCGCTAGTTGGGAAGTGAACATGGGACACATTATACTATTATTGAATAAATCTATGTGTGTCTTTCCCTGGCATGCCTGGACAATTTCTTTCTTGACTTTTAGAGTTAGCAATTTTAAGACTATTTAGGATGATAGACAAAAAACCTATTTAAACCAGAAGGACATTTATTTATCATTCATTCATTCATTCATTCATTCATTCATATTCAGGGTTTCTCTGTATAGTGTTGGCCGTACTGGAAACGTAGACCAACCAGGCTGGCCCCGTACTCAGAGTTCGGACTGTCACAGCTTTAATTATAGTACTCCCAAGGCAGAGGCAGGAGGATCTCTGTAAGTTTGAAGCCAGCCTGGTCTATAGATAGAATTTTAGTTTTAAAAATGGATGAGAGAAGAAACAAGGCTGAAGGACTGGTAGTTGCGATTCACAATCATAATGTGTCCCCACCACCCTCGTTAAGGCCTGATATGAATCCTTTTTATCCCCTGGAAGAACACCATCGAAAGACGACAGTGGCTGGTTTCGTGGTCTTAATAAAATTTATTTGAATCTGCCTACGTCGTGTGCAGTTTTGGACCTATGCTTTTTGACCTGAGGCTAGTGTAACGCGGCTGTCGCTAGGAACTGGTTTTCAGCCAGATCCTTCTGGACAATTTCCTTTCAGGAAAAAGAAACTCTGGGTTCTGTCGGGCATTCTAGAACGCCAGGCGCGCGTTCACGGTCTGTGATGCCAGACGCCTGGAACCAGTGAGGTGGCGGAAATCAGCCGGCACACGGCAGGCAGGCAATCCGGTCTTCGAGCAGTGCGAGCTCACGGCCCGCAGCCTCCTCCGGGACCCAGCTCCCGCGGGCCCCGCCCACCGCAGTTCCCGCATCCTCATTGGCTGGTTCTCCGCCCGCCATTCTTTTTTTTTTTTTTTTTTTTTTTTTTTTGCAGCAGGCCGGGGTGCGGAGCGGCACCCTTGTGAGCGTTGGTTGGTCTAATCGTAATGACGGTAAGGGCTGCCATTGGTCTGCAGGCTGCCAAACGGGCCGAGCAAACCCGAGCGGGGGGGCGGGAGGGCGGCGAGGAGTGCGCCGGCGCGTCGTCGGGGACGCTGGGTCCGGGATCTTGCTAGGGAACCGGTGTTGTCGCCACGCCCCTCGTGGCTTTAGGTCCCGTTAACTGTCGGCGGGACTGGCGCCGCAGCGCAGGGCGACGTGCCGGTGCGCTTCAAGGTGAACTCGGGGGGCTCGGCGTCTGGTGGCGGGGTGCGCGCTTCGGCCTCACGGAGGCTCCTGGCTTGGAGTCTGTGCCGGGGCCGAGGATGCTCCGACCCGTGATCCAGCGCGGAGGTGCTGGTGTGGGAGAGTTCTATGGGGTTCTCATGGGGTCATTCTGGGGGCTCCAGGAGCGGAGACGGAAGGAGGGCACTTGACAGTGGGACGAAAGGCTGCTTTCAGTGTAGGACACCTGTGGTCCCACTGATGTTTGCATTCAGCACCCCTTTTCCAGCAAACCTTAAAGTGTGTGCCTTCTAATTGGAAACGGGCCCTCAGTGAGAGGAGAGCGTGGGTGGGTATGTTTTAGGGGTTGCTAACATTTCCAGGTAGCTGTCTGTGTCTGGCACCCTTCCACGCAACAGGTGGCCATAGTCTTCTAGAAATCCCCACTAATTCTTCAGGGCTTGTGGGCCGAGTGGGAGGGGAGACTTGTTTTTCTGCAGCTGTCTTTTACTGAAAGGAATTGGGTGGAATCCATAATATTATGCACTTGGTGGGAACTTAGACTAAATCTCTAGTGATGGTGAGCTCACACTTTGGAATTAGAGAACCAGCTACAGGGCAGCCTCTCTGAGCATGACTCCTGCTCCCATCTGCCCCAGAGTGGTTGTGAGGATTAAAGGGCTCCTTAACCGTGGCTGGGTAAATATTAGCCATTGCTAAGGAGCTTGTCTGAGTCTAATGATCATTCTTAGGCGGTTCAACTCTCTTTGGAGGTTGAGATCTTCTTTGTTTTTCCTTTTCGATGCTGGCTTTTAAAACACTGCTCATTACACGGTGCTCAAATTGTGCTTTGCACTTTGCGGTGCAGGGGCTGAGTGAATACCAGAGAAGCTTTCTGTGGAAGAAGTCGTGTTTGTCAGAGTCCTACAACCCCTCAGTGGGGCGGAAGTACTCATGGGCCGGACTTAGATCGGATCAGTTAGGTAAGTGGAGCCAACTGGTAGCTGTTATAACCTGAATAAACTTTAGGTTTTGTTTACAAAACAAGTAAGATACATTTGTCTTGACTGAGTCACATGTGCTTGGCAAATATTTATTGATGCTATACCGTGATCCCAAACTCCTTTATGTACAGAAAAAAAGAAACTCCGTAAATAAGGCATTTCAGGTTGGATATAAAATAGCACGATAGCAAACAGGTTGAAGAGTAGAGATGAAGGGAATACGCTTGAGATTTGCCGTTCTTTAAGGGTCCTTCTGGGGGTGTTTGGACTCGAACCAGAAAATTGAGAGGGGCGAGCATGGGGAAGAAGACTCCCACAGTTTTGAGGAGCGGAAGCGTAGGTAGAGCAGCTCACCCAGGTTCAGTTAGCATCAGAGCCGTGACTTGTTCTCGTCTGTTTTGGCCAGTGCTCAGGAGTTTAGAGCTGTGTTCTCATTAATATATACTTCTTCTCCAGACCTGAGAGAATTTGAGCCCTGGATCAGGGACTCCGAGAGCACAGTGGAAATGGCAGCCTGACCATGGCAGCCGCTGTCTCTCTTGCTGGAGTCCGGCATCTCTGAGCACAGCCCTCTTATCTCCTGTTTGCCAGGAGAAACACGGGGCTTTGGGGCACGTGGCTCCCTATTAGAATACTTTTTATTATGCTTGTATGTGTGCAGGTCCACGTATGTGCATATCCCTGCAGAGGCCCGAGAACCATCCTGAATCTCATTCCTCAGGAAGATCGCCCACTTCATTTTGAGATAGGGTCTCCATTGGCTCACCAATTAGATTAGGTTTACTGGCCCGTGAGCCCCAAGGGTCCACATCTGTCTCCACCTCGCCAGTGCTCACGTAAGAGCACGCCACCACAGTTGGCTGTTTTTACATGGGTCCTGGGGGTCAAGCTCGGGTTCTCATGCTTAGGAGGCAATGTCAGCCCTAAAACTCATTTTCAAATTGATGAATCAATCTGAATTTGAGTATACAATATCTATAACCTGGAGCAAATCAAGCCTTGCCAAATGGACCTTAGGAAGCCATATTGCACGTGGTTTTTGGGTAGGGCCAAAGGAGGCATTGCTTGGTAAGGGCTTTATGTACATAGATCAATACTTAGTGTCCTATAGGTGGTGTGTGACAGTGACTGATGTGAGGCATCTGGAGCCAGGGGAAGGCATGACTTACAGTGAGGGCTCCAAGCCTTGAAGACAGTAAAATAAGGAATGTGTTTAAATTAGGTTTGGAGAACAGAAGGAAGTGTGGTTATCTCCTTGGGGCTACTCGCAGTGTAGATTTTTAGCCCAGGGTCTGACTTCAGAGGCCTGATTCTTAGGCAGCATATTGGAAAACTTCTCTGCTCCCATGTTCTGTACTTGGCAGGGTTTGTCAGATCAAGAATGCAAACTAGGTTCTAATAGCCGGCCTGCAGCAAGCTAAGACTGCAGGCAGGGAGACTTCTGACCAGCAAGGGGCTCTGATCCTGTACAAGAAGATACAATGGAGAGGTAAGTGTGTTGTTCCTGACCGCCACACAAGTCCGGTTAGGGAACACACAATATTCCCGCCATCCTTATCTCCCTGGCTACTCCAAAGGGGCAGCTTCCCCCAGCTAAACCCTCTCCCCTGCTACGCCATCCCAGCTTTCTGCCTGGAACCTCTACCCTTCCCCTCTCCCTTTTTCGGGGCTTAAATTCCTCCATCTCATCCGGGGTGGGCGCCGTGGGCCGGACAGGCGGTGAGTGCAAAGGGACGGAAGTCCCTTTGTTCTAATAGCCTGCCTGCAGCAAGCTAAGGCTGCAGGCAAAGTGATTCCTGGATAGCAAGGGGCACTAATCCAGTAGAAGAAGACCCAGCGGAGGGAAGAGCCATTGGAGAGCATCTGAAGGAAGAGATGGACAGGCGCCAAGGCAAGAATTCCTCCAATAATCTGAAAAACAACATGAAAACACCAGATCCCAGCGATCTTACGACAGAAGGACTTGAGCACCCTATTCGGGAAGAAGTGGAAAACAGTGTCATTATGAAAGCATTAGAGTCTCTTAAACAGGGTATGAATAACTCACTTAAAGAAATAGAAGAGAAATATAACAAAAAGATGAAAGAAATGAGTAAAGAAATGGAAGACAAATATAACAAAAAGTTTGAAGAAATGAGTAAATTCGTGAATGGTACCCTGGGAAACCAAGAAAAAACAATCAAACAGGTAATGGAATCAGTTCAAGAATTGAAAACTGAAATGGAGGCAGTGAAGAAAACACAAACCGAGGGCCGGCTGGATGTGGAAAATCTAGGTAAACAAACAGAGACTTCAGGAACAAGCATAACCAATAGAATACAAGAGATAGAAGAACGAATCTCAGATTATGAAGACACCATAGAGAAAATAAACGCCCTGACCAAAGAAAACAGCAAATCCAACAAATTCTCATCACAAAACATTCAGGAAATATGGGACATAATAAAAAAACCAAATCTAAGAATAATAGGAGTAGAAGAAGGAGAAGAATTGCAGATCAAAGGTCCAGAAAATATATTCAACAAAATTATAGAAGAAAACTTTCCCATCCTAAAGAGTGATATTCCTATGAAGGTGCGAGAAGCATACAGAACACCGAATAGACTGGATCAGAAAAAAACATCCCCTCGCCATATAATAATCAAAACATAAAGCATTCAGATTAAAGAAAGGATATTAAGCTGCAAAGGAAAAAGGTCAAGTAACCTATAAAGGTAAACCTATCAGACTTACACCAGACTTCACTATGGAAACCATGAAAGCCAGAAGGTCCTGGATAGAGGAACTGCAGAAACTAAGGGACCATGGATGCAAGCCCAGACTACTATACCCAGCCAAGCTTTCATTCACTATCAACGGAGAAAACAAAATATTCCAGGATAAAAACAAATTTAAACAATACGTAACTACTAATCCAGCCTTACAGAGAATATTAGAAGGAAAATTACATCCCAAGGAATCCAACATTGCCAACACTGCCTACAATAACTCAGACATCTAGCGACCCTTCACTAGCACAACCCAAAGAAGGAAAACACATACACTCTACTACCCAAAAAAAAAAAAAAAAAAACAGGGAGTCAACAACCACTGGTCATTAATATCTCTTAATATCAATGGACTCAATTCACCTATAAAAAGGCACAGACTTAGAGATTGGATACGAAAACAGGATCCAACATTCTGCTGTTTACAAGAAACACACCTCAACCACAAAGACAGACACCTACTCAGAGTAAAGGGTTGGGAAAAGGTTTTCCAAGCAAATGGACCTAAGAAACAAGCGGGTGTGGCCATCCTAATATCTAACAAAATCAACTTCAAACTAAAATCAATCAGAAGAGATGGAGATGGACATTTCATACTCATAACAGGAACAACTCATCAGGAAGAAGTCTCAATCCTGAATATCTATGCCCCTAATATAAAGGCACCCACATATGTAAAAGAAACTCTTCTAGAACTCAAGGCAGTCATCAAACCACACACGCTAATAGTAGGAGACTTCAACACTCCTCTCTCGCCAATGGACAGGTCAATCAGACAGAAACCAAACAGAGAATTAAGAGATTTATTGGAGGTATTGAATCAAATGGACTTAACAGACATCTATAGAACACTCCACCCAAATAGGAAAGAATATACCTTTTTCTCTGCAGCTCATGGAACCTTCTCGAAGATTGACCACATACTCGCTAACAAAGCAAACTTCCACAGATACAAAAACATAGTTACCACCTGTGTCTTGTCAGATCACCATGGATTAAAATTAGAATTCAACAACAATGGTACCCCCAGGAAGTCAACAAACTCATGGAAGTTGAACAGTCAACTACTAAATCACCCCTGGGTCAAGGAAGAAATTAAGAAAGAAATTAAAGTCTTCCTTGAATTTAATGAAAACAAAGACACAACATACTCAAACCTATGGGACACTATGAAAGCAGTGCTAAGAGGAAAGTTCATAGCAATAGGTGCACAAATAAAGAAAACGGAGAAAGCACACATGGGAGACTTAACAGAACACTTGAAAGCTCTAGAGAAAAAAGAAGCTGATTCACCCAGGAGGAGTAAAAGACTGGAAATAATCAAACTGAGGGCTGAAATCAACAAAATAGAAACACAGAAAACAATCCAAAGAATCAATGAATCAAAAAGCTGGTTCTTGAAGAAAATCAACAAGATTGACAAACCCCTGTCCAAACTAATCAAACGGCAGAGAGAGAACATGCAAATTAATAGGATCAGAAATGAAAAGGGGGACATAACCACAGACACAGAGGAAATTCAGAGAATCATTAGATCTTACTACGAAAGTTTATATGCCACAAAGTTGGAAAATGTAAAAGAAATGGACATTTTTTTAGATAATTACCATATACCAAAGTTGAACCAAGAACAGGTGAAAAATCTAAATAGCCCTGTTAGTCATGAAGAATTAGAAGCTGTTATCAGAAATCTCCCTACCAAAAAAAGCCCAGGACCAGATGGTTTCAATGCAGAATTCTACCAGAACTTCCAGGAAGAGCTAATACCTATACTCCTTAATGTATTCCACAATATATAAACAGAAGAGTCATTGCCAAACTCCTTTTATGAAGCTACAGTTACCCTAATACCAAAACCACACAAAGACACCACCAAGAGAGAATTACAGGCCAATCTCACTCATGAACATCCACACGAAAATTCTCAATAAAATCCTGGCAAACCGAATCCAGGAACACATTAGAAAAATTATCCATTATGATCAAGTAGGCTTCATCCCAGAGATGCAGGGCTGGTTCAACATACGCAAATCTATCAATGTAATCCATCATATAAATAAACTGAAAGAAAAAAACCATATGATCATTTCATTGGATGCTGAAAAAGCATTTGACAAAATTCAACACCCATTTATGATAAAGGTGTTGGAGAGACTGGGGATACAAGGATCATACCTAAATATAATAAAAGCAATATACAGCAAGCCGAAA